TACATTTGATATATACGAGAAATTAATTGATAAATACTAGCTATATATAATTCAAATTTCCATTCGGTTATTTAGTCAATTCCATTTCTAAGCGTTTTTTTTTCTAAATTCTATCATTTGCTCATAATCTATCTTTCTTAAGTAAATCGATTCAACATCGGATTCAGCAGACCTAATTAATCGATCATCAATTGGCAAGAGCTTTGTTCGTATTTTTAAACATTTTTCATAGTTTTTAAGAGATTCTTTACTATTCTGTAATTGACAAGCACAAATGCCAGCAATTTTTGCATAAATTACTGCACTATGAAGTATACCATCAGTGTAATATGTGTTCAATCAATTTTTGAAGATAATTAATTGCCGAAGTATGATTATCATCTTTTATTGCGTGAACTTAAGCAATTTCAAAATGAGTCTCAAATACAGTAGAATAATCAATATTTGATGATTTTAATTGTTCATCTAGAGCTTATTGATAATAAATTAAATCTTGATCAAAATTTTGAATTTCTGATGTATCTTTTCTGAATTGGATTCGTTCTGCAAGATTTTGTATATCAAAATGATTTAGTGATAAGATTTTTTTAAAATATCAAGTTTTAAATATGAATATGCGGTCATTAAATCATAGTTTTCCATTGCTTCATATATATTTGCAATATTTGAATAAGATTTAATAATTAATGCATGATACCATGGTAATAGTTTCTTTTGAATATCTAAAGCTTTCCTATAGTTTTTCAATGCTAGATCCAACTTATTCATTGAAAAAAAATGTCACCAATATCATCGTAGATATAGACTGAAGCTTTTGCTTGAGGATGATCAATCTTTTACATGAAGAATAGCATATCTATTTAGATGTTTAACGTAAATATGTAAAACGGTGTTTAGCACAATTGAAAAGGAATAATTTCCATTGTAATATTGAACACGACATTTCATTGTTCATGAGCACGATCACAACCACAAAATTCATTTCCGAGTCGCATTCATGACACATCATGAAAAAAATTTAGAAGAATTTTCTCATCGCTTGATATTGCCATCTATGTGGCACGTTTCATTGGACATAAGGAACATGAACAGAAATCATTGCAATAAAAAAACACACAAAACAATGCTGAAAGAAAAACTGCGTCAATAACATGTACAAAGCTAAAAGAAACAACAAAAACCTCGAAATGTTAGTCTCATTTTAGTTAGAACTATGTTGTCAACACCTAGCAAAACTATTTCAAAATATGATATGTGTAAAACAAATTTGATTTATAAAGGAACAACTGGATTCGACTTTATGCTGCATCGTTTATGTTTGTGTTTACAAAAACAAAGTAATTTAGACTTATTTTATCAACAATAGAAGATTAATCAGTATTAGAAGTCTATAACAAATGGATCAAAAGTAAAACGCAAACGTTTAAACGATAATGTTACAACAACTTATACTGGATTTATAGCACAACATGGGCGAGCTTTTCAATTGGTCGAAAGATTTGGTTGTATTAATCTAGCTGAGCAAAAATTTGATAATGGTAAACTTATATCATTATAAGCTAATATGGAGTTTGGAGAACTATAATCAGATTTTACTACTTTGAGTGATTTTCTGTTAAATATTATCAATAGAGTTTGGTCTGATAGAAAAATTATTTTTTTAAGTGAATTGAGCAGACATTAAATAAACGCAGACATTGTACAGAGCAATTATTCACGCCTTTGCGTAGTGATGCGAACATCTTTTAGAAAAAACAAGAATTTGTTTTGCTACTTTTTCTCGAAAGTATATCTAATTGTGAGTTGTCAATTGGTCCTATTAACATGGAATATCAATTACAAACATGTATGCTTAGTTGTTTTCCATACGAATGTACTTATTAAACTAGACCAAGAAAAATTTGGTATCACTAATAATGAACTGATGATGAATGAAGTGTACACTTAGTCAATATTATAAACATATTGGGTGTAGTGACCATTACTTGAATAAGCAATTAGAACGCGCCTTTACGTCTAAAAAGACTGATGGTAAAAATGTTGATTTCTAATTAATACATGAACTTTTCAAAATATGTGGATTTGAATGTTTAGAATTTCAACTGATGCTCTTTTTTTGAGACTTTTTGTTTTTACTAGGAATGGTAATATGCATTGTCAAATAAGAATCTGTGTCCTTATTCAAGCGTGAAAACTTAAATTTCATCATAAATAGTTACGATTATTAGGACACCAAATATTATCTCTTTTCGACATCAATTCTAGAGATGCCATGCTTAGTTTTCTATGAGATTATAGATCGTAGATTAGATTGTAAGATTACCAATGACCGTTTCAGAAGCGGCAAGTTTTCTGAAAAATAGTGGCGACTGAGTTCCAGGATCTTCATCAGGAATTCAAGATTTTTCAAATACTCGTGGGCAAGCTTAGTATAGTAAAAAGTTCATATTTCTACTCAGACTATGTCTTTATTAATTTTTGCACATTAAAATTATCAGATCTCTATCTTCTACTAATCATGACATATATAGTCCTTAGTTAACTTACAAGAATGAATTCTTTTTATACAGACGAAACTTATCGAATACATATTGATTACTTGCTTCAGCTCAGTCAGGCAATTCTCTCCTTACATGTTCAACTCATGAAATCATGCGTTTATGAGCCATGAACTTTTGCGGTTTTTGCGAAAAGTATGAAGGGGCGAGAGCGCTCCGTCATTTTTGAAAAGGAATTTGCCCAAATTAAAAAAACTTACGATCATGCAATATATTGTATTCAGCGAAATCTGAGGATTTCGATAATGCATGTTCTGTAAAAAGTGCTCATGATTTTCATATTGTACCCCATCTGGAGAAACTTGAGTCATACTCGAGTTTCTTTTACATACATTAGTAGCACCGACGTTTCTGATGCAAGATTTATATATTTTAGATATTATTCTGTGATGACTACCTCACTTTATTTAAACGAAAAAAGCATATTTTCATACCCATCTCCAGTCTATAAGTTATCGGCTAAAGAGATGGCTTCAAAAATGCATAATAACCACAATGATGACGATGGTGCACGTTACGATAATATCATGGATTGTCCAATGGAAATACATTGTACGTTGCCTGATGGTATAAAAGTTGAAAATCATCCGACTCCAAATGGAAAAACAAGCTGGGGTCTGTATGCTTCAAAACTGTTTCCAAAGCATTCAGTTATTTATATCAGAGAATTTGGCGGTTATATTTATGACAAGAATGTTGACTATAAATTGATTATTGAACCAGAAGGTAAAGGATCTATATTATGAAGATAAAAGTTAGTCAGTAAAGAAATGTATCCTCATCGGTCAAAAATTAATAGTTGTGACAAAAACTAATATTTCGAATATATATATAAAACACTGTTTTAGAATCTGATCGGTTTCAATAGTATGATGACTTAAACTGCAAGTCTATCAATGAATCATCGCCGCTCGTGCTACTATTTTTCCGTAGGTCACAGGCAGACATGCAAATCTTGAAGGCTTATCCTGCACTAGAGTAGGCTTTTTTGAGTGTACGCTTCAAAAAATTGTAGAGAAATGATGGATTTCAAGTCGAAACATGTTATATTTCTTCATATGAAAGTGAAAATTGTGTAGCAGTAAAGGAAGCACAGCAACAAGGAAACAGTACATTTTTGAACTTTGAGAGTGCGAATAGAATTGCCTTTGACACATACATTAGGTTTTTTTGCATCGATTACGTTCTCGAAAAGAAAAAAACTATGTTCTACAAGAATCTCTTCTTGAAACTTCATTCTCAATGAGATATGCACCAGTCCGGATGGATATCTAGCCGTTTGATCTATAATTAATTCGGTGACCAGTACTTTTTTGAAATACAATATAGTTGTCTCCATAAACTACTGCTAAAACATTGATAAGAAGATCGATCTCTTTTTTGCTAAAAATATCTACAACTCATGCGATGTAGGTTCTATCTGTTAGACGTGGTTTGTTGCTTTTTTAGCGCTCTATTCTAACTATTAGAAAATTGTTTGTTAATGAAAAAGCAAACTAAGCGGATCCAACGTTATACTAATCAGAGCATACTGCGAAAGTAGTAAACAAATTTGAATTCAATTTAGAAAAATATTATCTAACTGCGATGATAATACTAATATATTAAAGAAATTTACTAAACTACCTTTGCGTTAATAGAAAAATCTGCTTTGTGTAAGTTTATATTTGAATGCATTATTTAACAATTTTATTCAGTAAAAGTTTGGACTAATGTAAATATTACAGTTTATATCTTAAGATGTATAAAACTTTCACGTTACCATACGACTTCCATAGAACGACCATCATATAATAACATCTGGTTGTAGACAGCATTGAATAGGTTACTGCTTTTTGAAAATGATACAGATAGAGACTACACTTGGTAAATGATCAGTATTTCTACATTAATAATTATCTTACTCAATTATAATTTTCATGAGTCAGTTTTTTCTTTTCTAGCTTGAACAACACCGTCCAAATAGTAATCAGCCTTCTCTGAAAAGCCGTGAAAGAAACCTAATGTGTTAAATAGTTGTCAAAAATGAATAAAAGCTGCCAGAATGATGCCAACATACGAAAACTGTTTATGCATAAGTCTTAGAAAAATCTGATTAGTTAATGAAAAATTATTTTATCATGCGATAATTAGAAATAGTTCAACAAGTAACTAATACAAAAATAACAAATGAGTTCGATATCATACTACCTATCAGTAGTTTGGCACGTCCTTGAATCCAGTCTGAGTTTTGCAGAACAGATCGGACCAGTCGGTTGCTGACCGGTTCAGATATTTGACTTAATCGACGAAAAACGGTGCGTTTCGTGCATCAATTAACCAATCACTATTTTCGAGAAACAGTCTGTTACTTCAGTTTGACGAAGATATACAATATCAAACTCATAATTCTTGAAGTTTCCAATAGTAACAGCTTCTATTTTAGCCTGTCACGCGTAAGATGCTCATATTAAGAACGAACGAAGATTTCTTTAGAAAAGTTTGGACCTAGAACTCACAGCAACTAATGGCCATATCAATTAGATCTACTCTCTGCGAGCATTTCGAAAATGATATTCAGAAGCGATTTCTCAACTTTTCTCGGTTGTGAATTTACTTGTTGGATAGGAAAGTTGTTCTCCCTCATTGTGCACCAGGTCGACCTACGTAGCTTGTTCCGCTCAAAAGTTATACGGATTTTCCAGAAGCCTCCTATTTCAGTCATTCGACTTTAGATAACCCGAAAGATCATCTAAGATGGATTTATCCATTATGCTGAGTCGAATGGTGATATTTTTCTTGGATTTGAAATGAATTGACATTGTTATCTCGATATTTTCGAAATTCGGACTCATTTGACACACAACGATAGATATTTAAAAATTCAAAAATTCTGAAATAACAAAATTAAATATTTTCAAATATAAAAAATTATCACCATCCGACTTCGTACAATGAATGAACCCATCCTAGATGGTCTTCCGGATTATCCAATGTCAATTGGTTGAAATCGTAAGCTTCAGAAAAATACTTGTAATTCTTAAATGGAACAAGCTGCGTATGGCGACTTTGTGAAGATCAAGAGAGAACGATTTTTCTATCCAACAAGTAAATTCGCAAACAAGCAAAGTTGAGAAATCATTCCTAAATACATATATTTGCAGCGGAGATCACTACAACCGAAGCTATGATTTGACTTTCTGATCGTTTTCACTTTCGCTGGGGCGATACGCTACAATATATGTGACAATCACTTTCAAAATGCTTTCAGAGAGTCGATCTGAATGATCAATTGCTTACTAATCAGGTTTTAGCATGAATGTATGCGGTTGTGTCTTCTCTTGGTAATGGCGAAAATCGCAGCATATTCACCCGGCTTTTTTAAAATGGGCATTAGTATTGAACAACATCTAACTATATTTTTGTTGACTTCTTTCAAGAACAATGTCATTTCTTCATAATTAATCAGTTTGATCTAGTTTTATTTGAAATAATTCTTTAAGACTGCTGAAGGGCATCTCAATCTGCAAAAAAAAGGCTATTACAGACAGAAAGATAAGGCGAGCTAAAACGTACGGTTTTTGTATGAGATTTCCTATTTAAGATTTCTTAATATCTAAGTATTTTCATAGCTGGATGATGGTGATAGTCGGCGAGATCTTGACAACAGAACTTAAACTTTTCTGTTAATTTGTTATGAAATCATGAACTCAAAAACTACTAGCCATTAGGATTCTGTGAGAGTTAATCAGCAGTAAACCAGAAAAGTGATCTCAAAATGGTGAGGTGAAAAATTTATAGATTAGACCGATATTAGCTTTGAATGTCTAGCTAATTTTTTGGGAGCATAAAAAAATTATTCAAGATGTTATTTTCGTCAACGATATGTTGAACTTTTCGAAGAGATTTTTAGAAAAAACTCTTCCCAAAAAGCCATGTCAGTTGAATGGATTAATCTGTAGTTAATTAGTTCGAGCAAAATAATATCAATATAGTTAAGTAAAAAAGCTAAACATCTTGAAAACTGTTAGCTTGTCCGCCTAGAAACTGAATACCTTTGACAAAGTAAGAAACTTAGACAAGAGTTTTCAAAAATTGTCATCTTTACAATAAGAAAAACTAACAACAAGAATAAGACGTCACTTATTTCTAGGTACATCCATAACATTGAATACCTCTCGGCATTTGGTTAGATGTGCCAAAGGTGTACGTACACAAATAACATTTGGAGCATTGATGAATCATAGCTGTGATCCAAGCGCTTATTCAGATAGAACATATCATGGCTTAAAAGAAGGTCAAGAAACAGCTATTATTGCATTGCGTGATATTCATCCAAATGATGAAATTACGATGGATTACAATTTGGCTATATACGAGATGAAAAGTAAAGAAAAACATATATCATTGTCATGGAGACATAATATAGTACACTTCAATCGAAGAAACTGTTTCAAGTGATTAATTGCTTTATAGCTAGAACTTTGTACATTAGGTAAAGCCCAGTAAGCTATAAAAAGTTCAAAAAGGATGAACGTTTCCTTATGCGTTTCCTCTAGGGTTATAGCCGTCTTACCGCAATTTCAGACTATGACACGGTTTATACCAGTATATCAAATGATGATATGTCAGCCTGATATTTTGCTCACAGATAACTCTACCTGTGACTTGAATGGCCCGAAAATTTCAACTCAAAGAACAATATCTTTTCCTAGATAGTAGATTTTTAGAAAATATGAAATTAGCGATGCTTTCATAGGAACTGAATGATTTTTGAAAATCCAATATCATATAAAGAAAGCGTTCTGTTAGGTTGAAACCTGCACGGCATTCCAATGACAAGTAAGCCTATCTGTTGAGAAAATGTCCGGCCGACATACTATCATTCTATTCGTTGATATATAACATGCATAAGCGGAAATTTCAGTTAAAAGACTATAACCCTAAAGAAAAGGCATCAGAGCATTCATCCTATTTCGGATGTTCATACCACTTTGAAACCTATCTTATTCACAAATTTGAAACTAAAAGACTATTAATCATTCGAAACGATTTCCTTACAGAACTGTTCATTGTATGAGAAACATCTTGAGCTTCACCGAATGTCTAAAAAGTCTGACTTCAATTATTCTTCTATACGGATTTTAAGAACTTTATGATGTACTAAAGGTTCAGTAAAAACACTGTGTGGCAATATCTTTGTACGTATTGTCATTTGATGCAAACAAGTCAAATTCATTGTTGGTACCAAATTTCGATGTGGGCAAGTCTTTAGATATGATTAACTGTTGAGTCGAAACTGTATGCATCTAGTACACCCTAGTGAGCTATGTGTATTCTGAGCAAATTTTGCGTCCCACATATCTTACTAGTTCATATAATGGTGATTGACCGTTAAACTTTACTTTTTATATACTTAACACTATATTTGTGTGACTTGTAATTAAACAGCAACTTTTCACTATCGCAAGCATATTGCGTGATTAGCAGTTCTCTATCTATATTTGTAGCTGCTTGCCTCGTATGTCATGTACAAATCGATACATAAGAACGAGGACAGAGAGGAAAAGCACGACTAAGTATGAGCAGATGACAAAATACACCATCATGTCGAAAAGTGCGCGCTAAAATCTCGCAATTTGCCACAGCGGTACATCGAATTTTTAGTAAAGCTTTCGTGTAGAGTTACAGTCGTTTGACAAAATCATATTATTGAACCTTAAGTTGAATCTGACTTCAAACTATAATTGGAGATACGCTAGCTGCC